TATTATTGCTACATCACGATTACTAAAGCACCATCCAACAACAATAACAAAAAGCCAAAAAAAACATAAGCAATTGAAGCGCAAACAATCAATTGCTTGAACTTGTGTGGAAGCCCAGGAGGAATTGTGTGTCACTTCAGAAAAACAATAAAAGATTTTGTACAATATTTCTGCAGAGGGCCTATAGGAAATTAATGTCATTCTTAGTAAGATAGAAATCAATAATAATATGAGAAAAGTCTGAGAAAACTGCGTTTCATTGCGCTAGTTAACAGTAATTTTGCGACAGCGGTATTAGACGACCAAGACAGACAGCTGAACGATTTTCTACTCGACTTGCACTCCTGCTCTCTGAGAGCACACATCAGCAACTCAGTATAAGGAAGCAATCTGACCAACAGGGGTGTTGCACGAGAATTCTACGAAAATATGCGGCGACTAACAGAAGGTTTCAAGACTCTTGTAAAACGCCGAGAGGTTATCTAGTGACTGGTGCCTAGAGTAAACGGAAATAATCGGGGGAACACTGCCTGCTGAATGCCAGTGAAAGTATAACGCCAGGAGAAGCCGAACCCGATTTCCCTATCAATGACGATAGTCCATTGCCCGGTCATGAGGAATTTCGAGTAGTAATTACCTGCCTGAAGAATAAAGAACAAGAAAGCGGCAGGTGCCGATGGATTGCAAAACGAGCTATTCAAATACGGCGGCGAATAAGTTATAAGGAGCATGCATCGGTTCTTTGTAGAATATGGTCGTACGAAAGCATGCCCAATGATTGGAATGCTAGTGTGCTCTTCCAAACCCACATAACGGGAGACCCTACAATCTGCGCTAGCTACCGTGAAATAAGCCATCGTATAGTTATCTACCCTACTGTATGAAATATTAAAGCTCAGCGACAACAAACTGATTACACCTTATCAGTGTGACGTGAAAAGAGGATCGACACACATCACCTCTTTGTCGATTTCAAAACTGCTTTTGACGGTCTTGAATCAGTGGCGTATCAAGTATTTCTTTCAGGATGCGGTGTGGGGAAACTTATAATGTATGCTCAAGAAGATGAGCTAAAAGCCACGAAGGCATTTCAATCTATGTCAAATGGCATCCATTTGTAGTTAGATATGTGAAACCTTGGAAGTTTTCAAGGACTTCAAAAAGTTCCTCAGCATTCAGTGATTCTACTTCTTAATCAGTGGAGAAACAATGATATTAGCAGAGCACATTTGAAACGATTTTGAAGAAATGCGGCAAAATAGAAATAAAAACTTTCATCTCATCTTCGAACAATAATTGTAGACAATAACCCATGCCAAATTGGGTGAAGATATCTCGTCAAATATAAGAGTTTTACATACAAGCACTGAACTTTAATTGTTTATTTTATTAATTTGTATGGCAGTTATGTGCTATAGTGGCCCGACTTAAGTTGTTTCTACGGGGATGGCATTATTACCTTAGACAATAATACATACAAAATTTCCTTAAGATATCCTGTCAAATGAAACGACTTTCCATACAGATCTTTGATCGTGAAAGTTCAGTTTGTATGATAGCTATCATATTATTTGGACATATATTTCATTGGATCTTCGACGATTCCTTAAGGGTGGTACAAACATGGTGGCAAACTTAATATTCCTTGCTTATCATATAAAAACTATTTTTGATAAAATCTAATAAAAAATATTTTAAAATCCTAAAAAATTATGGATATTCTCGCAGTCTATTTAAAAGTGTATGGAATTTTCGAGAATTTTATAAAAATAAATTCTTATCGCTCCAACATTTCCACTAGGCACTTAAATTAGTATTTGTAGATTATGTATATATGTATGTATGTACACAAGTAACTCTTTACAAATATATATATAGTACAAGGCATTGCATAGGCGCGTACATATGTTGATAAGCGCACACGCAAAACAACTTCCATAATGTCAAAGTGCGATTGTGTAAACACTAATGTAATAATATAACAGCAGAAGCTGCTAACGGCAACAACAGAAAACAAAATGTACACAATAAAGCCGAAGGCAGTGGCAACATGGCTCAACAGCATTTAACCAAAACGCTGGTATTATGGCATTATCATGGCTAACAACGAGCCATAACTATAAAACTGTATATTTTTCACACACACATAGCACTCATACTTGCTTAAGCAAATACAAATACAAATACAAATACAGTAATGAGTATAGTAAAACATACAGCAATAGCAACAATGAGCTTGACGGCGGCAGCTACAACGAGGCGTATTTGAGAATAGCTGTGACTTTGGAAGAGAATAACTGTATATATGCAAATAAGTGTGTGCGTATGTGTGTATGTTTGTTGTTATGTGTTGTTGTCTGCATTAAAAATGCTACATTTGCCATCGTCGCCGTTTGCCATCGAAGTCGTTGACAGCAAATGATGACAACTGTTGTCAGAAGGACATTTGGCATTGCCAGCGACCGCCATAATCATTTCATTTATTGTTTTCCTTTCATTACACAACTACTAATGCAGACTGACATATGTGTGGTCACACACATACACACATATGCAAATATGTGCTTATGTAGTTGTGTGCGTCCTTTCAACGCTCAGCCGCTGTGATGCCTTACTTTGCCTTTGATATAGAAATTTTTCTATTGTTGTTTTTGCTATTATGATTTTTGCTTATACAATTTTATGAGCCATTTTTACACCACATTTGCATTTTTCATGTGATCGTGACCGGCCAACCAGCGCATGCAGACATATAACACACATGCATTCACATATATGTATGTATGTTTGGCTGTGCACATGGGTGCTCTAATCCATGTAGCTATATGCAGAAGTATGCGTCGATTATTTGTTGTTGTTGATGTAATGACCGCTATGTCATTGTTTGGCGCTACTGTTGCTGGCCAAAAGTACTTAATATTAATGACAGCCAATTGTATTCAAAAGCTAAAGCCATATCCACTCATCATAAACTATGAGCATTTCTGAGATGGGTATCGTGGTAGCGAAAAAAAAAAAATCAAATAAATACATATACTCGCAGTCTATTAATGTTCCCTTTAAGTTCACAGCTAATTACGTGTGTGTGTCTGTATGTTTTGCCACGAAATGTGCTAATTTTATTACTTCCAATGAAATATTGCAGTCTGTATTCAAATTCAAAATCAATTGTTATGTTAATTACGTTTGTGTGGTATTTATAAACCTGTTTATAAGCCTTCTTCGCCGCCTTATAGTTTTGTTGTATCCCCTATGAGAACTAACACTTTGCTGGACGGGTTTCAATTTTAGATTTGAATAAGGTTAAGAATTACAGAAACGTAAAATAAAATATTATTTTAAAGTAAGAATTGTGGTAATCGGTTAAATATTGAAATAAAATGGCCCAAAAGTATTCTAGCTTTGACTCCCACTAGTACTTTGAACACAAAAAGAGCGTACTTTCAGGGTTATGTCACATTATCTTCATAGCCGAAACCAGGATTGATATGTACCAGTCAAAGCACGTCAATATTTCTACAAAATTTGTGATTTGTAAAAGAAGCTTTACCAGAACATTCCAACTTAACGAAACCAATAAAGTGAAGAGTATTAGGTTCTAAAATCTAGGTTAGGTTAGTTTAATGACCTCTAGTTCCCAGCAGGGCTCTCGCTTGAACAGCTAAAAATCCTATATACGAGTAATAGATCATAAACCCTTAAAAACCGTCAAAACGTTTTGAGAGTATCAAAAATCAGTTGAGGCGGAAGTTGGCTGTTTCGGCAAAATAGCCTGGTATGCCGAGGATAAAACTGCTTATTGGATAAGATGAACTTTGCTAAGAGCTGGTTTAAAGATTTTTTTTTAAATATTCCATGTAGCAATTTATTTTGGGTCTATAACTAAAGGGTCAGAAAAGTGCCCTTTTGATTGTTTTTAAAGTGTTACAATTTTAAATAAAAGTCGCACGAACATATTAAGAAACCCAAGACTCTTGTATGGAGAAGGTGCTAAGCTCCAGGAAGTTGTCTTTTGTTGAAATTTTGTAAAGCCCTCATTCAACATATAACATATCAGATTTTTATGAAATTATGTCTTAAATATAGATGTGGATGAGGTTAAGATCTTATCGCTGGTTCCCCTTATTAATATAAAGTATAAGTATATACCTTCTTTCTCTATAAATACTGAAATGAAGAGATCACATCGCATATCAAAAATCGGTGCATAGACGCCGAATTCTTTAAGTCTGGATATTTCAAGAAATTATGTAGGCAGCGACGTATAATGTCACAATTAAAAGGGATGATAATCACATTTACTACTGCACTTAGATAGGCGTTGTCGAATGCTTAAATAAGTCAGATATGCCTTCGGTAATTAAAAGTGGTATACCCCTGGAAACGATGAGAAAGTTCGAAGACTAGAAAAATACTAAATACAAAAAAAGGTTTGAAATTTCGTCCTTAATTGCTTCCTTAAAAGGTAAAGTACGTCGTAAATTATCAGAAAGATGATTTTTCGTTATACATAGTATGATCATTTCACATATCAGCCTAAGAGTTGGTTATATGTACATATAAATAGTGAAAATCTTTCAACGCCAAAATTCTGTTAAGCCCTAATCACTAAAAATCAATATGGACTTTAGCATTGACCACGTCATATTTATTAAGGCTCAGTACTTGTCCCGTTTTATACTTAATTTCACAACATTGCAACGCGAACTGTTTTTATACTGTTATATACATATACAGAAAGAAAAAAATATACATATGTATTTATTAGTCAACGAATTCCTGCAGCGCATATTTTCATAACGGCACGTAAGTATGTACGTACCTAAATTATCAGCTCTAAAAAATCTTTTTGCGCTGACTCACACTTCTATACATGCATATAATGTATGTACGAGTACAATAACCAATACGGATTCAATTAAAAATTGTGAAGGGCGTGAAATTGCTTTCAACTACTTGTCATTACGTTAGCTCGTTTTACACTTTTTCACTCGACTCACCTGGAAATTCCTGCGGAATCAGCACACCTTTCTTGCGGCTCGCCGCCGCTGTTTTGGCATTATGCCCGTGAAATATGTGACGCTGGCGTATTAGCCGATAAAGCAAGAACAGCTCGCCATGATCGGCGTGATCGCGATGATCCGCATCCGCGTTGCCATTGCCGTTAATTGCTGTATTTGACTGGGTTGTCGACGTCGCCGCTGCTGCAGCTGATGTCAAAACTGTTGTGTTATGCGAGGTGGTGTGCTTGGCGGTCACTCTTTCACCACTGCTGCTCGTATTCGTAGCACCCGAGCTGTGCGCATTCACATTGCCGCTTGAGGAGGCCGTCGATGAGGAGGTACCGTTGTTAATGGCCACCGTCATGCCGCAAGCGCTCACCGACGAGTTCGAGGCGCTGGTGCCGGTGGTGTGTGTTGTGGCCGTGGATGAGCCATTCGAAGAAGAGGACTGTAGCGTTTCGTCGGAGAACTTCGTCTTGTACGAGATACGCACTACGCGCGGCAACGAATAGCGATCGAGAAAGATGTCCGCGGGTAGAGGCTCGTGCTGGGACTAGAAGTAGACAAAAAAAAAAAAAAAAAAAAAATATTTTATAAAATTTCCTAACTTTAGTTAGAGTTCGAGTTCGACACTCACCTCATTGCTGTACTTGGATGCTTTGCTGTCGCCGGTGGAGTAATCGCCGCCACCACACATGCTGCCATTGCCACAGTTGCCCGCACCACTGCCATTGCCATTAGCGCCCAGCCCGCAACCGATGCCACCGGACAGATTCGCGCCCATACCGCCAACGGCCGCAGAGCTATAACCGCCACCGCCGGCACTCATGCGCATGCGTCGTGCCAAACGCTGTTTCATTTCGATTTCATTGCGTCGCGCCAGACGTGCATTCTCGAAGTCTGCCACGGAGAACATGTTTGCGCTGGTGTCGTGCGAGTTGAAGCGTCGCAATTTCGGTTTGCGTCCCTCGACTGCCGCGAAATGGCCTAACGGACCGCCGGAGACAGCTGTAATGTGCCAAGTGTTGTAATTAGTCATTTGCATGTCGCGAATACAAATGAATAGTAGTAAACTGCGCAAAATGCGAAAAATAAAACCTTAGCAAATCTGCTTGCTAATTACTTACCACTTATCGCATTGGGCGGCGTAGCAACACCTGTAGCAGCCGGTGACGCATTGCTGCTGTGCTTGCTGCCATTGACAAGATTGCCGTTTGCGTTGCCATTGTTGGAGACTAAGAAAAAGACAGGAGGCGGTGGATTAGCGCTGCTGCCGCCACCACAACTGCTGTGATGCTTAGCATTCAATTGCTGTTGCTGATGATGTGCGGCGGCTGACGACGACATGCCATTTGTATGGTTGCCACCTGAAAGTGAAGAAACAAGGAGGCGGCGGAATTGCGTTAATAAATGACTGGAGAATGAGTAATGTACTTAAGATTCGATTAGACAAAAGTAAAGAATGGAAAACAGAAAAATGCTGGAATTTTTTTAATTCGGTTTAGAATTTTTATTCAACTAAGCGCTGGCTAGACAAGATAATTTGCAAAGAAGTCTACTTTAACTGGTGGCGTAGAGTCATGCTAGTCATTCTAGTTACTCAAATTGCTTTTAAGGAGGTTTTATAAATATGCTCTGAAAGCAAGAAATGTGCCAATGGATACGTTTCTATTGTAAACCTTTCAGTGAAAAGAGCTTTTGTTGAAGTCAAAGCTCTCTTAAGTTAGTAAAAATGTTGTTTTCTTGTAAAAAGATTTATATATACAAAACCGTCAAAACTTCATCTGTTAAGAAAGAATTAGAGTTATTTCAAAAACTATAAAGCATGTATGACACTAATGTATGGGTTGATATACTTGCAGTGTGTTATAGACATTTATTTTACAAATTTTCACTTGCGTTCTAATGGACATATGCATATCAGTAGTATTTTCTTAACTACTCTTCTCTAATACGATAATATTTATATAATATCTTTCGCTCTAGAAGCAATTTTAGTTTTTGTGCCTGTAATTTTGTTAAAAAATTCAACTGATTTAACAATCGGGGTCATTTGTGGATTTTCGTTAGGCCTATGATAACAATTTTAAAACTTTATGCTTTATAACGTAATTTGGTATGGTTTAAGTTAGATAAGTATATAATAAATATAAGATAATTGTTTGAGTTCAAAACTTACGCCTGAGCAACGTTTACCATTCGTCCAACTTTAGGCATTGAAGGATATATAGCAGCCGTAGCTGGGAGTGTACATTAAGACCATGGAGATTCGATTTGGCACCGTTTGCTGCAACTCGGATTTGTGCAGGAACTCAAGCTCCTCGAAATTCTTAAGAAGAAGAAGACGTTTTCGAGCCAAACATTGTTCAGCGATGAGGTTTATTTCCCGGCTCAATAAAATTGCCGCATTTGATACAAAAAGCAACCTCGAGAGATTCAGGAGCTGACATCTCAATCATATCAATCAATTGTTTGATATGGTTTGTAGGCGGATGGAATCAGCGGCCCATATTTGTTTAAAAATAAAGGCGTTGAGAACTTAATCATCAAAGGCGACCGTTATCACGTCTTGATAACCAACTATTTGATGTCTGAAATTGAAGCTCGTGATCTCATTTCATTTCAACATCATCGAATCAATCATTTGGATTCATTGTAAGAACACTTCCAAAACATTTCATGTTTTGGACTGGTCGATTGGCCACCAATATTTTAAGCTTCTGTGCGAACAACAATATACATCTTATTTTATTACATCATAAAAACTTTTTAAAAGAAAATTGAACTTTAAAGGCAGAGAGAAAGATCTTTTGGTGTATTTTCAGGACGCGCTTTATCACAGATGAAAATTTCGACAAAATAACCGTTTTGATACGGAATGGACAGGTCAGTGCCATTATATAAGTATGTGTTTTTCAAAAACCGCATTGACTACAGCCAGTCGAAAATATATTTATTGTAAATATTTTGTGTTAAAATGTGTTCTAGTTTAGGGACATGATTTTCTGGAAAATTTTAAAGTGACGTAATGAAAAGGTAGTTAATATTTGTACTATTTATTTTTTAATTAGCAATTATAAAAATTCTGGTTAAAAATAAAAAAATTAAAAGTTTGAAAAATTAATAACTCAGAGGTCTAAAGCCGTAATCCCGTGACCATACCCATGATTCGAAACATACTAACAATCTGAAACCAAAAAAATATATATATTAATTTTAAATAATTTCGAAATTTTATAATATTATTTATCGAAGTTTTTAAAAATAATCAAAATTACAATTTTGGTCATATGGCTAGTTCCAGACATATGTAGAAAAGAGTATAAAAAATACTCTCTAAACATTTCAGTTAAATCGGTTTAGTTGACCTCATCATGGATAACGTTTTAAAAAGGACTGTTTTTAGAAAAAAGTGTTTAAAGTTCTATTTCTGGCCGAACCAGTTTGGATTCCGGAAAGGCAAAATAGCTATATCTCCGTAAATAATTTGAGTTTCGAAAAAAAAAACTCTTGTTAACATATTCTTGAATAATTAATCTTTGAGGAATATATATAATATTTATTAAGGAATATATATTTTAAGCAGAACAGTTTCTTTCGGCATTCCAATTAATTTTAACTATTGAGCCATTATTCATGCAATGAGTAATGAAAATTTTGATAATGCTTTTTTCTTTAGCAAATTATTATTTTTATATGGCATACATAGATCTACTGGTTTTTTTTATAACATTTACTTTAAAGGCAAGATTTTATTTTCTTATGAACTTTTTTACATACAATGTTGAAAAACTTAATATATAAAAAAAAAAATATGTATGAATTAGGCCGATACAAGCCTTGTCAAAAATTAAAATTATTTTCGAATATTTATATTGTTTTATTTATTGTATATAAAGTTATTTTATTCAATATATTCCTTGCTTTTCAAGTACTGAATAAGAAACCTTGTATGGCACTTGGCCTTTTTCAGGCTTGTCTTTATAAAGCCGTAAAAACAGAACTCCTGCATTCGAAGTTATAAGTCAGCAAAGCATATTGTGGCCAATCAAAATTTGGTGAGGGGTGCAATTTCTCAATAGTTTAGTAGAATGTCTATGAGCTTAAAGCTTTGATCTTGCAAACACGGGACATTGAAGAAAGAAGTGCTGAATTGACTCTACCTCATTTGTTCCACACAGCTCTATTAATATAGCATGAGCAACAATAGGACAATAGCCTGTCAGAATCCCGACAACTGGGGAAAAGCTAGCATTACTAAGAACAAAGATCTCTTTCGATTGATTTTGGGTCAAAAAGATCTAGCGGCAGCGCATGAACCGTTGGTAACCCAGCATTGAATTAGCTCTCGCCAAGCCCAGCTATTCTGTAGTAGAACACACGGAGAGGGGAGCAAAGACCTGTTCCTACATTACTGATAGCGGAACTAAGAAATCCCTGATTCCCAGCTCATCAGCATTGCAGTTGCCTTCGATTGCCCTGTGGCGTGGCAACAATATTAATCTTAACACAATTAACTTTCGGGATTAGTTTTCACGCAAAATTATTTTTTGTTACTCTGTCCAAAAACAAAAAAAAAAAAAAAACAAAAATACTTTTGGGCGACCTTTACTTAAGCCGACATTAGAAATATGCAAAATAAAAAAATTTAGACGACCCCACTGAATACTATTCTTTATATCTTCTGATAGATTTCCACTACTATTAAATTTATTTTACATACAACACTTTTTGATTCTTATTAATTGTTTAAAGTTTCGATTTTGTTAGCGGCACATTTCCAAAACACATTTCGACTTAAAATTGTGAACCCAAAATAGCATTTGATATCACTGCTACGCGGTCACACAATTAATTTCTGCTTTTTGCACATACAAGCAATTATACGCAGCATCATTTAAGCGCTATTAAACGCGATATTATCCACTTAGGACGTTCCCAGCGCATTGTCAACGAGCGCGTGACATGTGAAAAGTTCAACAATTTCATTGCCAGAACGATTAAAATGATTAATTGATTGCAATGAGCATTTCATCATCTTTGGAAGACTACTTATTGCTTTTGTTGTTTCGCCTTTTAGCCGAACGCGCAACATTGTTGCGGTGAGCGCAGCGCAGCGCCGGCCAACAGCAGAGCGGCGCTACGCCACAATGCCTATAAATAAATCAACGCGCGTGCGTTTGTGTGTGTGCATAGTAACTGTCGTTATGAGTATATTTAACTACGCTACAATTTCGCTGCATTTTTTCGCTTCGATTTGTTTTTTTTTTAATTTCTAAAGATTTTGCGACTCTGCCGGCGTTGTACCCTACTCACCTACTAGATTTGTTGTTGATGACGCTGTATTTTTTATTGTTGTTACTGCTGCTGCTACGGCGCTAGTAGTGGTCGTATCTGTTGTGGCACCAGCTGCTGTTGCCGTTGTTGTTGCAGTGGTTGCAACGCTGCCGACAGTCGTTGGTGTTGCCATGTGCGGACTACTCTTGATAAACCAGTTGGCCAAGTGTCGTTGACGTTCGAATTCGATACTACTGCGTTGCATTTCGGATAATTTCATGGAATCAGTCATTTCGCTAGGCAACAAAGCGATTTGAGCGCGCGCGCAAAAAAAAAAAATCACAAACACAAAAAAATTGAAATGAATTCGTTAACTACGAGGAAACACACAACAACAACTCTTTTAATTTGCTTTTATTGTTTTGTTGTAGTGGTAATAGTTGTTGTTATTACTGGGAGCAGCTGCCGTAAGGGTAGGGCGTGCACGCCTGCGCACAGCACAATGAAATGATCACACTTACACACACATGCACACAGGGAATGCGGTTTTATTTTATTTATTTTTTGAATTTTTTTTATATATTTTTTCAATAATTTTTCTGCTCCGCTTCTGCTTAGCTACTGGAATGTTGTACGCACTACACTTTATTGTTGTTGTTGCTACAACTTCAGTGCACTTGCTTGCTTGAATTCGCTTTGTACGCGTTTCACTTAGAAATTATATTTTTTATATTTTCTCGTGGGCACTTGGAAATCCTTAGGAAAATCACATTTCTTTTTAGTTTTCACACTTCTATGCATTTTTTTGCGGCTTTTGCTTGCGTTTGCTTTGCCTGCGCTTTTTGGATTATTTGCACGGCCGTTTCTGGCTAAACAGAGCACTCGTTGTCACTTGGTTCTATTCTAATTCACACTGTGCTTGCTTGTCAACTGCTGGCCCGTATTTGGCATGATCTACAGCCCAAAAGCACTGCGCGCACATACACACACAAATCGCTAATGACGGCGTTGACAACGCTGCTGCTGACGACAAACGGCACCCGACGTAGCTACAAACACTCGTATATATATATATATACGTGACAATAGGTGAATCGCTAAACAGAAAAATTCGCGTTGACGACCTTAACGACACGCGTGCTCGTTAACACTCTCCGTGCCAGACTCACATGGATTTTAGACGCGACCCGTTCCGTTGGCGCGCCGAATGCAACTGCCGGCCAACGTCAGCGCCAGCCACATGCAAAGCTCCACAGAGTTCGTTGTGTGTCTCTGCTTGTGTGCGCGCGTATGTGTGTCTGCTCCAAACAAAACTCACAGCAACAACAATAGCGCGTTTGTAAGCAACACTCCGCTATAAACAATGAAGGCATGAACTGCCGCTGTGACTCAGTCAGTCAATCCCAGCGTTCGGGCGTCATCGTCATCCACACAATCAACCAACGACATTTGTGTATGTTTGTATGTATGTATTTAGGTGCGTTTGCTGTAAAATCGTTGACTGCGACGGCGACGGCGACGTTCATATAAAGTGAAGCAAAAGCAACAAATGCCAAGAGCCAGTCAGTTAGTTGGTTAACTGAATGATTTTGCTTGCTTGCTCGCTGGCTTGGCTGGTTTGATTGGTGAGCGAGTGGCGTTGTGAGTGCCGAGCACTACACAACAATGTGCTGAGTAGCCACACAATAGAAAAAGCAGAGAGGCAGGCCGCCAGACCGTTGTGTATATGGGTATTGTTGCTTGGTTAACTGGTGTGGAGGGGTTGCTTACCTGTGGATATGGCAAAAAAACGAAAAAACAACAATATTAGTAATGTACATACAGTTGTAGTGTGTGTTTAAATACGAGTAATAATAATAAAAATAATTATTCTTATAATAACTCCAATATAACAATAGTTTGCCAGCTGTAATGGGTGAGTTTACTCCTAATGAATGCCTGCCGCTTGCTGAGCAGCGCGTCTTCTTTTTGTTGTTGGAGAGATGGACAATGTGTTGGCAGTGTTTGCGGGGTATACTCTCATGTCAGTATGTATGTATATGTATATGTACGCACATAAATATTTCCTATATTCGTGAGAGTGTATACAGGTCATATGAATAGAACAGGTATTCTGAACTTTTAGCACAGAAGGCTTATACCGTCAATAACTGAAACGAATATTTTTGAAAATTTTTGAAAACTATTAGATGAACAATAAAGCAATCGATCTTTTAAATAAAGTCGCGTATGCGCAAAATGTTCTATGGATTATTCAGAACAAATTTTCTTATACTATAAAGTATGGGTCTAAAACTGATTTCGAGCTATCGATTTTTAAGGCGAAGTTTAGCCCTTACAGATTCTAAATTTTTTTCTTCGCAGTTTGAGTTATTGGAATGGAACACCCTGGGGTTTTTTTTTTTTGATATTATGCTAACTTTGTCGGAATAATCCAGTTCGAAAAACTATAACATACTATAGGTATATATGTATAAATCTATGCTCCAATATCTGCAACACAAGTAATTATTTTGATTTTCCTGGAAAACTATCTAGTAGCGTATTGCTAAGAAAGGAGTATATTGTAGTTTATGTTTATTGAAAAGGGTTGCCCTACCTGTTCAAATTAATTCAAAATGAAATTAACTGGCAACCCGGTTTTTGTAAAAACTAAATTAAGTTTCTTTGAAATATTGTAATTTACATATATCAGAAAGTAATTCAATCACGCCACAAAAATTTCCGCTGAAAGCTTTTTGTGTACATATATTTGTATATTCTATTTTTTTTTATTCTGTTTAAAAAAGGGAAACAAATATTTCGTTAATAAAAGAATATACATAAAATAATTATGTTTGAAAATAGATGGCAATTTTGTTTAGTGAAGTTCTTATTTCACTAAAAGCTTTCAAAACCTCAAGACATAGTATAAGTCTTTCTAGTTTCATTTGAAAAATCTCAAATAACTTTAAAAATTAGTCTTAATTTGAATTTTGTTCTCAAGTCGGCAATAAGTTTTGATGTTCTGAACATTTTGTAACCTTTCGGCAAAAACAAAAACAAAAACAAAAAAAAAAAAAAAAGATAAAAATAAAAATAAAAATAGGAAAATAGAAAAATAAAAACAATTTCCCAGAAGTTTTCATCGTAGTTGTTAGAACGATGCTTTCCCAACAAGCCTTTTCTTTTGGTTTTTGCCAAAATGTTACAAGTAAGCGAAAAACATCAAGATAAGGAAAAAGGGGGTCATAAGGTCATCAAAAAAACTGACACATACAACGCCAAACCCTTTGAGGGTTTTACTATACTGACCTAGTACCATCACCCTGACTTGGAATTTCTCACCCTCCAGACAGTAATCCCAAAAATGTTCCACAGTGTAATAAGCCATTCTTCTTACATTTAATTGAAGTTGTGTTATAGGTGCCCAAATAGGTCAAATATAATATATATTTTCGGTTCCGTTACGTTAACTTCTGATTTTCTAATATATAAGTCTATCGATCCTTAATCAGAGTGGACTCACAGTTTAACGACAACAGTTCATTGCCATGGTACGCTCGTTCGATTTTCACGTTCCTGTTAGAAGTCAGCATGAGGTAACTGATACTCTAATCTATTCTCAAGGTAAAAAGAGTGAGGAAAGTTGTTTGTAAGCTGAGTGATAGGCAGCCTAATAGAGCCTTCGTCACTAAGATTTTATTATCACTTGAATAAAAGAATAGCAACAGTGAGAGCTTTCATAGTGATATTAGACTACCGTCTAGGAAGACGACATTTCCAACGATACAACCTCGAGTAATAATATTAATACAAACTATTAAGTTCAGTGAGTCATTCCATAAGAGAGCTTATATATATATAAAAGAGAGATGAGGGACCTCATGGATCCCATAAATGCATTGATCTTATAAGCCTCGAAACTTCAATATTTCCAGATGTTTTAATTGGATAATTTCATGCACTCTTTCCAACTTTTTAGTATTAAGCTTTTTTTTTTGCTTTTATTCCGGATGATTCAGTTGGATAATTTATGTACACTCTTTCTAGCTTTTTAGTTTTAAGCTTTTGTTTAGCTTTAACAATCTTCCAAGTAGTTTTCCATAACTACGAAGTTCGCTATATCGAGTTCCCACTGCATTAAATTTCAAAGGTGTTTCAATTGCTTCCTAACCATTATGACAATAATAGTTTCCTATCGCATTTTATATTTACCCAAATGCTTAAGAGCTTAAAATTATTTCGAGATAATTTCTTAATTTAATTTAGTTCACCATAATTTAAAGGTATATAGGGTATGCTTAAATACATTGTATGTCGCTTGATAACAGCAAGAATGACATAACATAAAAATATAAAAAAAAAAGAAAAAAAAAGACATTTAAAGTTTGCGGCGTGAAAAGCTAATGAATAGATCAAATAAAGATAAAGCAACGAGAGTTTTTAAATGCCATTGGTGTATATTTGTAGAGAGTAAAGGTATAAGATGACTTAGTATTGTATATAGAATTGGAAATTTAAATTTTTTGACATATGTCACTTTGCCACGCAACCAATGATATGTATGTGTTTTTTCTTTTTTTTTTTTTGTATTTTCACCTAAAAGCAAAAACTGAAATAATTTATGGTTATTCTTGGTATTAGCTTAGCTGCGATCTCTTAAAGATCAAGCTTTTGTGTTTTAAAATTAAAAAAATATTTATTTTATATAGTTTTGTTCAAATGTTTTGCAATATTTGGCATTCTGACACATTAAAGCAGGAAATAAAATTAATATCACTTTGAAGGAGATAAGAAAAATACATGAAATAATAATAATAATAATCGCAAAAAAATGAGCACGTTTAATCCGCACCTCCACCTACTATACATCAAATTATATCCAAACATACATTATATTCATACATACACTTGTATGTACATATGTACACTTACGAGCACTGACATGCTCGCCGATGACTGGCGATAAGCTTTAGCGCTGGCTGGCATTGCGCTGTCTCGCGGCAGCTGTTAAAGTGTGATAATCAAAAGCGGCGATCGTCATTGTCGCACGGGCCGTCACTCGGGCTGGCGAGTTGCTGTTCCTAGTTTTGTTGTTGCTGTTGATGGGGGTTTAGCTTAGCGGTGGCGTGTTTGGTGCCCTATTTCTAAATTACTCGCGCAAGCAATTGCTGGCGTCATATGGGGGAGGGGGAGCGTTGTTAAGGAGGGCGGTCTTTTGCAATGTACGATATCTATTTTTGTACTTACGAATACATAGTATGTATGTGGGTAAAGCATGTCGAGTACGTTGGAGCAAAAACGTGTGTACTTGGGCTACAAATGTTTGCACATACAAACAAAGTGGCATACCCACATACGTACATACATACACACCCCACAATAATAATTATTGTTGTTCTTGTTTTTTTTTGTATTTTTTTCTTTTTATTGCTCTTGCTTCCAATTTATTTAGACCGCAGCAGACTCTGTGCTATATTTTGTTTGTTGTTTTTGTTACTATTTTTTTTTAAAACGAGTATTTATGAATTATGACGTGCGCTGGCTTTCAAGTGTGTACATACTCGCTATAAATACAAATGTGATTTTTATAGTTGTTTGAGAGTTTTCTCTCTGGGCGATTCTACTTAATTAATGAGTGTGACCTTCAGAAAGTGTGGTGTGAAAAATAACTAAATAAATAAATTAAATTTGGGGTACTTCAGTTTGAAGTAGTTATTTACTTTTGAAATGCTTTATTTGTTATTGTTTTTTTTTGATTACTTCGTGTTTTCATTAGCCCTTAAAGCCGAGTCATCTAAGTACTCGTAAGCACAAAATCGTTTAAGGTTAGAATTCGTAGGTGTTAATAAGTGACCATGAGTGAAGTTCAGCTTGAATCAACTCTCTCACAAAGTACTGGCATTCTAAGCGGCCGAAGTGAAATCTCTATTGGGATCGTCCGCCTAACCTAACAAAAAATCTTTCGGCACTATTCTTTCTCCTCTTTTCTGAAAATGTCTATTTTGAGTCAAAGACTTTGGGTATCATTTCGGTCTACATTCTTTCTCCTCTTCCTCCAGCCTTTCAGTTTATTGGAGATATTTTAGTTTATTTGAAATTCCAAGCTTTCAAGGCCATCTGTGGTTGATTTAGTTTAAGTTAATAATATTTTCTCTTAAATAATATTTTGGATATCAGCACCTTCCCTGACAGCATATCATCTGCTAATATTATTAGTTTGGGTCCTATCGAGTCTCATAGTCGAAGTCTCTGAGAGTCTAGGCCCTTTTCAGTTACGTAGAACCGATTGTCGAGTGAACGATAAAGCTCAACTGTAATTAATTTAAGGATTTGTAGCCAAAAAGTAATTTCAGTAATTTCGACCCGATTCGGACCAAATCCACACGTGGAGTGGATATGGGAAATAATAAGATTAGTTTATCGAAATCACTCTTGGTGATGAGGAAACGGCAGCCTCAGTCTATCAGCTTATTAATTTCGAAGAGGGTCGTATTAAAATGATTGATCCACACACGGGGCGAATGTGGGTAAGAAACAGGTAGAATTCCATATCTAGAAGTTTTAGGAATCTCAAAGTACCAGCGTGCAAAACTGTCCAAGTGAGATTCTGTGTTATCCTTGTTGCGAAGATCAGTCCCACTAACTAATATAATCTAACAAACTTTCCAAAAATGTCAAAGTGTTAACCAAATCAAAATTTTTTAGTTATATCTGCCAGCTCTCACTTTCAGTTACATCTCCGGTTGATAGCCCTCATTTACGTTTAAGAGATCGCTATACTCAAA